AGCAGCCACAGTGGGGTGGCTGCACTGTCCCCCACCCCTTCTGCGCTGACAGCAGAGGACTGCGTTTCATGGACCAGATGAGAGTGAAATTTAGTGTTACAACTGTGTGCAGCTTATGTAATTTATCTGAAATTACGACAAGCGTCGGTTACCATGTGCTTGACATGCATGCATTCAGGTGAGCAGCTCTAAAGAAACAACTCAAACTTTAGTTATTCATGTTACCTAGACAGACCTAAGAGTTCCGCTTCCCTTCTTTTTTTGTTCCCTTTTTACAGTACAGTGTAAAATTTAAGCCATTATTCCAAGTTGATGGTCACACAGTTGACTCCTGAAGTCAGAACTTCCCCTGCCCTTGAGGAGCTATCTGGGTGGAGCCTGCCTCTCCCCAAAGGTCTCTGAACCACACATTCAGTTCGGCTGTGCGCCCTTGCTCCCTCCCTCCCAGGCCTCCAGACTGAGTCAGTCCCTGGATGGGGGACTCTGAGCAGCAGAAACAGCGACCTGTGTACCGAGGCTTCCAGGCAGCAGTCACACTTTGCCAATAGCAGGCCAGAGGGGCTTCTAGCAAAACGAGGGGCTCAAAGCAGGAAGGTGGACTGTGCTGTCCCAGTGACCTCTGGACTCTAAGACCTGCACTGAGGTAAGGCCCCCCCCATGTATATTTCAGGGCCCCCTATATCGGTTCCTCTGTTGTTAGCTACTCCAACATGCCCTAGGGGGTCAAGGCTCAGAAAATGAGTGTAAAATGACTAACAGACCTTCCTTTGATGATCTAACAGGATGAGAGATGACAGGATGGAAATCAGGGAAGCCAGGAATGAAAGTAATTATTACTGATGGACATCACAGAAAGATTTTCTCAAATGATCCTCTCCCATCACTCCACCGTGGGAATGAGAAAAGATTACCAGAAATATCCAAAAGTTCACTGAGGATGTGGTGGGGCAATCAGTGTCATCATCTCTGGGGAGGGCAGGGCAGGGCGCCTCAGCCTCCAGGGAGGACTTGGGGCGTAGTGGGAGGAGGGCGCTGGCTCTCTGGGGGAGCAAGGCTGGAGCCAGCTCTGGAGCAAGTTACTTAGTCCCAGTAAGAGCCTCTCATCTTTTACAGGGTGATTTTGCAGGGTGAGGATATGAGAACTGTCTATATAAACTATGTCGCTATGACTTGAATTTACATGATACATCACTTCTGTTAACAGAAAAGACAGTTAATGTAAAACATTTTTTTACTGAGAAAAAACTTGTTTCTAAAGGCTCCCTATGAGGCTGTTACATGGATAAAAAAAATCACTCCCAACTACCACCAGAGATACACTGACGCCAGACTCTGGGGTATGGTAAACACCTGTCCCGGACCACAGGCACACTGAGGAGCGCCTGACTCCAAAAGAATACACCTGGGGACAAGAGGAAACGCCTGACAGCGCCTTCACCAGCCGGCAGTGACGAGCGCCAAGCCACCGTGCTTGCTCGGTTGTGCCACCCAGGCCAGCGTCCTCACATACCAGCTGCAACCCAAGATTCTTATCAGGAACGTCAAAGATTCCACATTTTGGGTGTAAATGCCAAACCTGAGCCAACACTGGACGCTCCTTTTGCTGATACCAAATAAGTACATATGTCAGGCAGATAAGGCCTCCGGCTGGCCGGAGAGCAACAGACCCGAGAGGTGAACTCACCTGCTAGAAGGTGTGGCAGCACAGTGGGCCCCGTCAGAAGGGGTGTAGGTCGCCAGTCTCTCTTGGTCAGCTTGGGCACCATGGGCAGGCTGGTTGGGAGCAAGTGGTACCCCACTTTCCTTCCCAGGAACCATTAGCTTTGGGGGAAAATGGAAAAATACAGTGAATCATGGGAGCAGCAGGGGAGCTTGCGGCCTAGCATGATGGTATCTGCTTACACATTTTCAATCACCAATGCTGCCACCAAGTGGGCAGGAAACCTAGGATCTTTATCTCCTCTGGGACTCAGTTCATGGGAGACATGCAATGGCAGTGACGCCCGAGGGAAAAGAAGAGGGAGAAGACACCAGGAAGCTCTTCTTTCCACTGAGTGCAACGGGTGCCTTCTGCTCAGTCACATCAGTCCTCCAAAGTTAAACGAGTTTTTAGCTTCAGATACTCAGCACAGAATTGAGGTCTCAAGAAGCCCCTCAGCTGCCTGAGGGAAGGGAGATGGCACAGGAAACCCCAGGTCTTCCCCTTCTTTAAAGATACCTGGTGAGGGTGGGCGGCAGTTAGGCCAGCAGCAAACACTACTGGGTAAGCCAGGTCAGCCGGTCCAACGCCCAGGGCGGCAGGCTGACAGGAAAGGCGAGAGCTTGAGAGCTAAGCAAGAGAAAACAAAGAGGGCAAAGGAGAGGAGGAGGAAAACCAGGCAGTCCGAAAGCACACTAAGGATCCAGGTCAGTGGAGGTGAGGGGTGGGCCCAGTGCACGTCCGCATGGGGCTGCGGGCCTGACTGACGGAAGGGCTCATTAAAGACAGACCAGGCAATGATATGTTTACATAAGAAAACAGAAACCTATTTGTGGTGGAAGAGATTCCCAGTGCTGGAGTCTCTCCGCCTCAGGATGAGTTCCTTGCCCCCCTTTTCCCAGGGACTCGGCTAACTGCTTCAGTTTCCGGCCCAGCAGGCCTATGGCGCACAAGCCCAGACAGAACTTTGAGTCCAAGTCATCAGTCTTCCCCAGGTCATTCGATTTTCTCCTCTGCCCTTCCAGTCCCTTTGAAATGGGTTTCTCTGATCACACCCTCCTCCTCCACTCCTGGGGATGGGAGGGTTCCTATTTGTATTAAAGAAAAATAACCACTCTTGGATTGTTTACTTAGAAATGAGATATAAATAACTCCATGTATTTTTCACATCAATGAGAGGAGCAAATGAAAATTCCTATCTGGGGCTGCTGTGCTAAGGCGTGTCCTGTTAAAAATCAATTACCAAGCCTCAGAATAACCCACAGAATAACACTTGGGGACATTTACGTAGCTAAACCTTTTACTTTATTTACAATTTTTAAATTATAAAATGCCATGAGAGTATATCCCCTTCTTCCCTTTATGGACTCACTTGATGGGAAAAGGCCAGTCCTGCCATGGGGACCCTCAGGGTGTCCGTCACCACAGGAGTAGGGGTCTGAAAATGTGCCTTTGTGACAGTAAACACACACTGTGCACAGACACACACAGAGACAGAGAGAGAAAAGAAGAAAAAGGGACTTGAGAAAGAAATGAAAAAACTCTGGAAGGGGCAGTAGCAACAGAGACTGAAATGCAAAGGTAAGCAGAGCAGGGAGAAAGCTCTGCGGCTGCCTTCCTGAAGGACAACCTGGAAGGCTCTGACGAAGAGATGTTTAGTCCATGATACCCCACTGACTGCCCCGTGATGAGCAGGTAGAAAACACAGCTGAGTCAAACTGGTATGGCTTGGCAAAACACAGAAACCCAAGCATTAGTCTGTCTTGAGTCAACCAAGAGTAGGAGGCTGTTTGAGAACAGCCGCCCAGGGGAGGGCCTGAGCAGACGCCGAGCGTGCTGAGGATGAATGAGGACAAGGGTGCTGAGCTCATGTCAGACTGAAGGCCTTTTTCTGGGGATCCAGAGTCTGCAGGGACAGGCTGAAACAGCTGACATATATTGGCAGGTTCTGTTAAAGTGCTCAGGTATGCTTTCCTCTGTCATCCCAGGGAAGACGCATGGGTAAGTGTAGATACAGGCACAGAATGTGTGTGCGTGTCTGCGTGTTTGTATTATCCCTGATGGAGTAAGACAAGTTGATGGGTTAAAAACTGTTTGAAAGGGTACTTTAAAAACTTTTATGATCTCCAAGTCAATTAATGGGCATGACAGTAATTCTGGTTCTGGCTGTTTCATCTTTAAGACTCACTAAGTAGGGCCCTCCCTGGTGGTACAATGGGTTAAAGCCCAACACTATGAAGCCACCCACAGCCATTGCAAATGAGTTTGATTCCCAGGCAGGGAGGTGACCCACATGGCACGGCAGACCTCTCCTGACCCACCTGCTGCTCCCCTCAGCAGTGTATTTCAGTCAATCTGCCTGTTCTGCTGCCCACTCTGTCTCTGGTAAATCTTCTTGCTCCTCCCCCCCAACTCTGGCCTACACACCAGCTCTTGTTGCACAAATAAATCTTTTTTTTTTTTTTTTTAAAAAAAAACCTCACTAAGCAGTGAATTCATGCTTAGAATCAGAGATAAGACCTTAAATCACAGAAGCAGGCTCAGGCTCACATCTATGTCTTGATTCAAACTCCCAAATGACACAATAACCTTATTTTCTTGGCAAAACAACATCACCTTAACATGTATTTACTGGACTCTAGCAAAAGCTCAAACAAAAGTTGCTGAGCAATTATGCAAGTGCCTAGGTTAAACCGAGGGACTGTTTCAATATTTGCTGGAAAAAGATGGCTAGTGATTTTCTCCCTCCGTCCTATCCTCAAGGTTTAAAATGAGTATTTCTGCACAAACTGTAGCAGGTGTGATCAGAGGTGCTCAGAGAGTACTGATAGGATCACCCAAGAGTACTCAATATTCCTAAGATCTTGATGTGATCTACTTTTAAATCACACATGGCAAGTGATAGCATGAAAAAAGGCTCTTTACATAGGTCAGAAGACTTATGCAAACATCAACCAAAGAAAATGCTTAACATGCATTTGACCCAACTTTTAAAGTTGGGTCAAATTTCCACTGTCTCAGATAAGACCAAATGACTCATGATAGCCCAGCCTTACCAGCTCTCATTTTCCCCGTCACAACTTTGAATGTTGTTTATGAATCATCACTGGTACAACAAAATAAACTTGTTTAATGAACATTAAACTCAAAATAGTCACATTTTTATTGTTAAAAAAATCTACGCTCATTAATGTGCACTCATAAGAAAGTGGGCTCCCCTACCCTCCTTAGGGGCAGGTGGGTGAGCACCCTGGAAGCTACCTCTTTCTAGAACATTCATGCTTACATGACTGTGGAGAGAAGGGACTGACCATTCTCACAGTGCCAAATCAAGCTGTCGGAGCCACCTTTTTTTTTTTTCTTTTGGTCTATTTATTTATTTAATATTATAATAGTTTATTTATTTTACATCATTCTGTGCCTTTTTCCATCTCTGTTGTAATCCCCGGGGGCTTCCCATCACCAAATCACCCGTGTGCCATCACCACAGTCCAGTGCACTTCCCTCTCCCCACCATTTTTGATCCCACTCCGCACTCCACCCCTGTAAAATGTCTCTGGTATATAGTTGTTTATTATTTTTATTATTTTCTCCCCTGGTCCTTTATACTCCTGCTGTGATTGAAATCATCCTTAAGCCACTTTTTAAATACAGTATTTCAGAACAACCCAGGATGGAATGAATTCAAATTTTTTCTTCATTGAAAAACACATAATAAAAACGTATGAAAAACTAATTTGTTGGATGCCCTACATATGATGTGAAAAGGAACCACTGGGGGTAATTTAATGGGAACAGAACTGAGCTAGGTCTAGAAGAAACTAACGTGAAAGTCAAAGAGGGCAAGACAGGGTGATGAGCGGGCTCTGCAGGCAGGGAGGTAGAAGATGAACGTCTCAGCTAAGAGAGGTGCCCTGAAATTCAGTCAACTGTCAACAATGACTTTCAGCTGAGGCCCTCTCAGTATCACAGACATTACGCAAGACCACACAACTTCCTCCCTGGAAGCTGAGAACACTTTTTGGACCCTCTTCATTACTGAAGCTGGATTTTAGATTGAAGATTGACTCAAGTGGAAAAGTTAATGGTAAAAAATGTTCAGGCAGAGAATAAAGACAGGCAGAAATCTATGTCAACAATCAAGAAAACCTGCCCTGCTGTTTGCAGTGTATGCTAAATAATTATTGGTTCCTTCTGTGCTCCTTCCATTAGCAGGAATGGTACTTACCGCTTCAAAAAAGAGGCCTCTAGCAAGCAAACGAGCACAGATCACAGATCAGCAAATCCGTGATACCAGAAAGCATCTGCACTTCTGTCACTGATTTTCCAGGAAACTTTAAGACGTCCCCAGGAATGGAAAGGTAAGATGTAATTGTGTGGGTGAAGACTAGTTACAAATAGATATACTGCAATTTAGCTGCTGGAGAAGACTCCCTCTCACCACTTACAACAGCTGCTGGAAATGGTGTGGTGGGATTTCCACCGAGAGACTGCCTCTCAATTCTGACACCATTTCACAGGGTCCACACAGGTACCAAATAATTACAGCCAGCCACCCCACCCCAACCTGTCTCCTCATACCTGCGATGGAGGAGAGGTGGAAAACGAAGTGGTACACACTTCTTGAGAGTCTTCCACAGAAGGGTAAGTTACTCCAGTGTCCTCACCAGCAGTTCTAAAGTGAAGGGGGAAAACCATGAATTGTATGGGAACAGCAATCATTTTCTGAAGGGATACAGAGGCAGGTGAGATAAAGAAAAGTTATGACAAGAATTGTTTCAGTTAGACTTTACAACAGCAAGAAGATTTGTTAAGTCCTTGTTGATTTTAAACATTTCCAGAGGAGCAGCATCTTGGGGTATGACAACAGGCTTTAAAAAAAAAAAAAAAAAATCTTACCTGACATATTACATGAGAAAGCATTGACTAGTGCTGGGGGCCAGACTTGGGAACTCAAAGAACTGTTAATAACAGAGATTCTGTGAAACAAAGTCCAGGCTCTAAACACAGGCCTATCCAATTTCACAAGTCCTTCACATAAAGGTGATATCTCTTCTGATTACACACTGATCCCAAGCTCTAGAGAATTGTGTTCTGGGATCGAGGCCCAGAGACATTTGATTCTGATGTATACCTGAATTGCGTGAGATGGCAATCTGAAAGCCACTTATTTAGCAAGAATAGGCCACAAATCACTGTCACTCTTGTTGTCTCTAAGTAATTTGCCACTAAGAAAAGTCAAATCATTACTATCAATATCCAAAATGTCTAAGAATTCCTTGAGACAGTCAGTCCATCCCAAATCTCGATGTACCTAACAGCAAGCAGCAAGAAGAGACGCAAATCATTTCCTATCTTTCCATGCTACCTCCTTGCTACCTGGGGGCCCACTTTTTTTTTTTTTTTTGCCTTGCTGTGGTTTAGAGCAGTGTCCGCAGTGTCCTTCCTATTCCTCACCTGTAATTGCAGGGATGCATGGGTGAGGCGCTGGGGTAGGGACGGTCCACAAAATGATCAATGATAATGCCCATAATAGGTGGTGTCCTCTCAAATTGCCTGTAATAGAAAAAGCAGATTGCAATACTGTTGGCCTACCTTGCCAGCACGCCCTCCAAGTCCTCAGAGGCCCCTCACCTTGTATCTGCTGGCAGGAGCCAACAGAGCCTTGACTACTACATCCCTCACCATAAACCACCAACTCTACATCCTGGACAAATCTGGAGACATGCAGATTCTACAATCTGGAAACCGATTTCTTTTCTTGATTTTATTCTTCTGAAGGGGACTGGTTTCAGCAATGGCAAAGATGAATTATAGGCTGCACTTTGGGGTTTGTGGGGGGAACCTTTGGAACAGTTCCTTTGGATGCGAAGGCTCTCCTCACCTGGTGGACATGAATGCCAAGTTAATTCTGTAAGCACAAGAAAGAGTGATGGTTCCCACAGGTGTGCCCACGGTTCCAACACGAACTGTCTGGAAACCTAGAAGAGAGAAAGGATTAGCTTTTTCCCAGAGAATACTGACAAGCCCCACACCACCATCCCATCTGTCTTTCCCTCAGTCAGTCTACGGTGTAAGCCCTAGCATCACCCACTTAGCAACTGAGGTGCAGCAACCTCACTTTCATATCTATCTACTGTTTCATGTGTATACATGTTTTTTCTTTCTATTTATTACATATTGACCGTATTATTTCCACATAAAACTGCCTTTGAAGAGGTGAAACAAGCTCCTTGAAGAGCTTGCACAAGCCCTAATCATGCCTGCCCGGGGGTGTCACATGTCCGAGATAGGGAAGGGGCACTAGGCGTCTGTCATACAAACGCCTCAATTTATAACGCGGTAGCACCCCACCGAGCTGCCACCCCAACAGTAAGTTTAGAGAAGGGCCAGGGCCTTGCAGATGATACTCCCAACAAAGCTTTTCTGGCTTTCGCGACCTCATTTCCAATTTTTCAAACTTGTTGATGCTCCGCAGAAATGTACAACAATCATTGTAGAAAATAAGACAATTATATAAGAAGAAATAATACCTAGTTATTGTAACTTTGGGAAAAATGATTTAGCTGTCCCCTGGCAGTTCTCTGGATCACTTACCTACCTTCTATTTTCCTCACTTATAGCAAGTTACATATTGTTATAGGCAGCATCCAAGTCCCTCTGTAAAGACAGGGAGCTCTTAACACTACAAATGATTTTCAACCTTGAGTCATACCTTCTCCTAAGCCGTTTAGCTGAACTTCTCCAAAATATATCCTGTAGGAAAAAAAAGAAATGTTACCTGACTTTTTATTGTAAGGGCCTCCATAGTCAAAACACCTAGAAACAAACAAGCCCTCTTTCCTTATCTGCATTAAACACCTTCCCTAATGCTGCAATGACACTCTATTTCAATTAAGCTTCAGACAGGAGCGTATATATGAAGACAATTAAAAAGTGAGAAAGATAGAATTAAGTGGAAACTGGCATTTAAGTTTCTTCTTCCTGCTCCTGAAATGTGTTCTGAAAGAACACGCCTATATACATAAAATTAGCAAATGGATCTGGGAGTACTATTGGAAAGAATTAAATTGTGAAGCGGGGTCTTTGATTACCTCCATGCTTATAACCAGTCATCCCAAAGCAAACTGTTTAGAAATAAAAAAAATTGTTTTCCCATCATAATGTTAGATGTAAGACAATTTTAAGTATATAAAAATACAAACAAATGCTTCCCACATGAGCTCTCTGGGAAGACCAATCTAGATTAGCAAAAATTCTGAATTAAAAAATACTTAAAACTAATTTTTATGTTCTTCAAGTAACAGTTAAAAATTAAGTACACATATGGGTTTATTAGATACCGCAAAGTGGTATGGTTAGATGTCAGGGGTGATATAAAGACAAGTTAAGGATGAGATTCAGGATAAAGCTGAAGCTGAGGTCTCACATTTTATAATCTGATGTGGGAGAAACAGAATGTAGAAAATATCTGAAATACATTCATACAAACAAATGAAAGCAGGAGTGGACAAACTTTTAAGAGAATAGGGTAGTAAATACTTCAGGCGTGAGGCTACCCAGCTGTGGCATTTGCTGAGCTTTGCTGCTGTATTGCAAAAGTAGTCATAGATGGACACTTAAGAGAACAGGGTGGCTGTATTCTAAAATAACTTTATAAAAACAGCAGTGAGGGCCTCCCTGGTGGGGCAGGGGTTAAGCCTCAGCACTATCAAGCTATTAGTAGCCACTACAGCATGAGTTTGATTGATCCTCAGCAGGGAGCTGACCCACCTGGCACAGCAAACCTCTCCTGTCTTGTCCACTGGTCCCCTCAGCAGTGGATTTCAGTTGATCCACCTGTTCTGCTCCCTACTCTTGTCTCTGGTGGATCAACTGAGCTGATGACTAGCTGTGCAGCATGGCTACTCATAAAAGAGCTAATGTGAAGAGGACTTGACATAGTAAATGAGATGAGTTAGAGAGCAACCTTCTATTATATGTAAATAAAGGTCTAGTAATTTTCAAATGGAATACTCATCTGAGACATGGGATAATGAAAGAGAAGGTAGTACAGGCCTGGAAAACACCTACCTTTCCACACTTTGCTCTCACATTTTCTGGCATGTGCTCTAGCCACACTCGGGCTCTCTGACAACCTACACAGCTCCCTCCCCACACCCCCCACCCTGTGCCTGGGGCCATCTGGTGAGCTCCTCACCTTCCGCTCACTCTCCCTCAGTTCCACCTATCCTCTGCTGCAAGGCCTAGCTTGAATGCCACTTCCTCCGTGAAGCCTAACTTGTTCTCTTACCCGGAACACACTTTCCCTGCCTGTGTTCTGCTTCTTTTATAATTACACATATATCAAACTGTTTCCCCCATTATTAGAAACACAATTTCAGTAAAAAACTGAAATTGAATAAGCAGTGTGTTAGAGGTAAGTTTTAATTTAGCATTGGAACAAGGAAGGTTGTGGAATTCTCCCAGGAGAGTCTGTATTTTTGAGTCTTAAGCTCCTTTTCTGGCTTTCAGTTATAAATCCACTCCCTAGGAATCATGACCATATCATGGTTTTGGAAAGCCAAGATCCATAAGTGGAGATGGGTAGAGAAGTGGAGTAAAGCTACAGAATCAACTGTTTAGCCAACCATCTGTCCCAGAATTAATCAGGAATATCAGGATGCGGTCAGTGCCCCGTGACGTGACTGATGAGTGAATCGAGAAGGCGGGCAGCAATGGTGGGTACCTGTACAATATGACATATTCATGCCCTTGTTTTCTGGAGAGTCTATAGGCCGGGGTCACTCTAGTAATAGCAAGGAGAGACTTCAGCAGCAATGACAGTCTGTTGTATACTGTGTAGGAAACTTTAATTTCTTTGTCACACCTGTGGAGCAAAGACACTGATCAGCATTTTCCCAGTCAACTAACATAAAACAAAGAACAGAACTACAATGGATATAGAAATATTTGTAATATTCCATATAGTGAATGAGATTAATCTGGTAACATTATTCATGAATTCTAATAGAATATAATCTGCTTTGTAGTCCAATAACACCATTTAAAGACTATTACAGTCAACAGAGACAGTGACACTGAAGCAATATAATGGCACAAAATTAAATTTATTAATTTGGTTCAGACTGTCAGTTTATCAAAAGGCTGTTGAAGGTGACTCAAGTTTCGCTTTCTCAACTACTAGATAGAGCAAGTGACACCAAGACACCCAATAATTTCCAGTTTTGAAGCAGTGGCCTTTCTAAGAAATAAAATAGCACCCTTAAAAATAGTATTGCACATTACAACTGTATTACTGAACATGCAAACATAATTTCAATCAATGTGCTCTCTTATTAAGACTGATCTTTAAAAATCTATCAGGAAATCTGCAGAAAACTCTGGTCTAAAATTTTGGACATATTTTGGCAGTTTCTATTTTAGAAAGAAAACTAATGCCCACACCACATACTTATTACTGTTTTTTTTTTTTTGATGTGTTGCTATTTCTTTAATTTTCCTATAGACACTTTGAAAAGGGAAACTTAGAGCAGGAAATAAGTTAATCTGTCTTGAAAGAAGAAAATGGGAGGAAAAAAACATGCATTTCCAATCCACGCCCAACCCAGTATGTAAAAAAAGGAGTAGTGAGGGAAAATCTTACTGGATGTTTGCCACCCAGAAAACTGACAAAACAGAGTCATCATTTTACAAGAGTTCACAAGGGATTTAATCAGAGAACTATCTGTACTCTGGGAAAACAACAAATTCTTTTCAGCTCGAGCTCTATTCCTTTCCCCGTGGTGTCTGTGTCTCTCTCTGGACTGACACTCCCGCTGAAGGTCATCTCTGTGACTCTGCTGGAAGCAGCGCATGAAGCAAATTATAGCAAAGACCTCTTAGCTTTGTTAAGTGCTCAGAACACCCCCCTAGCCCTGCTCCCACCCCCCGACTGATACAAAGCCCTGCTTTTCACACAGCATCACATGCTTTACCCTCAGCCTCCCAGAACAAGGATCCTAGACAGAGAACTTACTTTTCATTCATTTCAAGACACCAAATCTCTAGCTCCATGGAATCTCCCTGTAGATGGGACAATTAAAAGATTTTTTAGTGTTTTAAAAAAAATATCCACTTTTTTCTTATGACGAAGCACTATATAGTCAATATACTAGAAAATATGAATAGCAAAAAGAAAAAAGCCAGACATCAACTTGTAATTTACTTCAATACATTCTGCTTCTAAATTAACAGTAAGATCATATCATATATACTAATAGATGTCACCTATCTATTTCTTAATATACAAAACATGAATTTTCCTTATAATTGTTTTTGATGGTTATATAATATTCCACCATGTGACCATCATATTATCCAGCTGATCCCCTTACGCTTGAACATACAGGCGGATTTTTGTGTATATATATATATATATGTATATATAATGTAGAACATACATTCTAATCTTTCACTCTACAGACAACAGTATGATAATAAGTCTTGAGACTGAAACTTTGTACACACTCTGAATTAATTTCTTAAGGCAAATTTTCAGAATTAGAATCACTAGTTCAAAAAGTACACATTTCTAAGACTTCTAATATGTATTTACAAATTGCTCCTTAGCAAGGCCAACACTTCAAACAATGAACAGAGTTCCCCCTCCATTTCTGAAGAGGCTATGTTTAGGTGAAACCCACAGTTAAGACAGACCTTAGCAAGTTCCCCACTCAAACTTTTTTTAGTTGTCTGATGTTTTTAGCCAAGTTGTTCAGCCCCTTTATGTGTTACTTGGACAGATAACTATTATATCTTCCCTCATTTCAAAAGAAAACTGAAGAATTACAAAGATAATGCTGCAAACCTCAAGTATAAAAGAGGTCAGAATAAGAACATACTGCCTACTATATGTTCTATCAAGCACTTTACAAATAAAGATTAAATAAGAAAATATTATTGCCCTGTGAGACTTAAATGTCATGTTAGTGTGGTGCTGTTGACTGTGGTGGGGTTAAGTAACTTGGCTAGACTCGCTTAACTGGGATCAGAATATTGATATCTGTACAATTCCAAACTCCCTTTGCCTTTTATTATGCTGTATACCCTCCCAGTGTTGTAGTGGGAATAGATTAATAGACATACACGTAACAATGCATGTCTCAATCCTCACATGGAATATGGTAGACCAAATAACATTAAAAAAATAATCACAAGTAATACTCTAAGACATAAACAATGCACACAGGAAGTCTAAAAAAAGCAGTTACCTCTCCTCTAGAAGGGGGAGATTTTATAGAGATGAGTATCTTTAAGGATGAACAAAGTGGGCCCTCCCCGGTGGTACACCGGTTAAAGCACAGCACTGAGAAGCTAAGCTGCTTTAGCAGGAGTTCAATCCCTAGCCAGGAAGGTGACCCACAGGGCACAGCAGACCTCTCCTGGCTCACCAACTGCTCCTCTCAGCAGTGTACTTTGTTGATCTGCCCATTCTGCTTCCCACACTGTCTCTGGTGAACCCTCTTTACCACCCCTGCACTTCTGGCCTGTACCCCAGTTCTGTATGCATAAATAATTCTTTAAAAAAAAAAAAAGGATGAACCAAGTTATATCATATAGAGGATATGTATACAGATGAAGTGAGAGTCTATTCCAAGTAATTGGAATAATAACCACAAAACCCATGACCTTCTCAAAGAACGATGAGAAGTTCAGAGAGGGCAGGGAAGAGGCTGAGTTGGGCCACGGTGTGAAGGGCCTGGTGTGCCAAGTTCACACGTCACCCTGGCTATAACCTTACCTCAGAAGTCTTGAGAGAGATCTCCACACACATAGACCTCCCGACAGCAGGCAGCTGCCCTGCCAGTGCCTTTTTAGCTTCATGTGTGACCTCAGGGATGTCTTTGATTGCCAAATTGAACTAGAAAACAAAAGGGACTTGTGCTGACCAATTTACAAGGAACATCATGGAAAATTAAAGTATGTTGTAAGACTGGGTATTGGGTAACACAGGCGTTGCCTGGACTCATTAAGGACATTCATTCACTTCTCTCTTCCCCACAAGAGACAGCCTGATCAGAGCTCCAATTTTCAGGTTGAAGAAGTCAGTTTTTTTATCTGTTAGAAAGGAAACAATACCTTATTCTGGATTTCTAAAGACCAAATTATTTCTCCTATCACAGCAGAAAGCCAGGAGCCAAATGTATCAGGACTAATGTTCTATAAAGAACAGTTTTCAGGTGAATGGATCAAATGGAATTCAATAATGTAATGTTAGAATTTAGTAATATCATAAGAGTATCGCTTAATACTGCACCTGTGATTTCTTGTGACAAATGCCACAGTATATCCTTTAGCAAAGAAGAGGAAATTTACCCAGTCTGAACCTGTTGGGGATGAAGACGAATGCGTACAGATCTTCTCACCGAGTCGAGCCTGGACAATTACTTGGACAGTCTAGAAAAGAAAAGCAAGACAGCAAAGATGAAAAGGCTTAAGCTGATTTGTCTCCTGATTAAGTAAAAATCCTCCCAGTGCAGGATTTGAAAGATGCCAGTTATTACTCGAAGTACTTCAGGAAAGGCTCGAAATGGAAACATTCAAGAACAGAGTTAAAAAACACTACACAAAATTATCATACTACAGACTTTCCTGAGGTCACAGTGTCAACCAACTAGATTTACAGTCTAGTTGGGATCTGCAAGTGCCTCACATGGCAGTAGGGAAATGGCACATGGCAAGGCTCTCAGTTTCATAAAGAAACGGGTCCGACCGCAGGTTTAAATAGTCACTGCCATACACTTAGATAATCATAGTAGACTGAAAACTAAGCAATTATTTATATGATTTGGCCCATATGGCAAAAGTCTTCCAACTACTTTTACAACCAGAGTCTACTGCATGGATTTTTCCTGCGCTATAAAAGTTGAGAGGAAGGAATGATAGGGGTGGAAATGATTTTTAGATTGAGGAAAATAGAACTTCTAAGCATTCAAAATTCAGTTTTAATTTTTCATTACCCAGAAGGAACAAAAAATGAAAGGAAGACATCTCAGAATTAGTTGATGCTTCAGGGAAGATGCCCAAAATGCTGGCCAGTCCAGTCCATACTCTTTGTTCCTACCTCCAGGGAACATTCTGTGCCAATAACCTGGCATAATAGCTTGACATTTCTGCAAACAGCCTTTCAAAAAAATGTTTTGAACAAATAGCTGTGGAAAATTGGAAGTTACTTTTTAGTTACACCCCCAGTACCGCCCCCAAACTTCACAGTTTAGTTTACAACAGACAGAAGTATCCCTTAAAATGGGCAAGCTGCAAGCTGTTATGCTTTATTTCCAAAAAGAGAAAAGCAAGGAAGTTATTTCTAACAGACAGTATTAAGCTCAAGAGAATGAATATATTACCTTGAGAGCAAAAAATTTAATGAACTTGTCCAGGTCCTTTCTGTCCTGGGAATTGAGATCAGTTTCCATTGCCTATAGGAATCTAAAACAGGGGAGGGGATATGTTGAAAAAAATATGAAACAGGGGAGGGGATATGTTGAAAAAAATATGACCAGTGCCTTTTAAAAGAGATTGCTACATCAAAATACACAGAGATGGTATTGTTTAGTTGTGTGAATAGTCACGTAGGAGGGGGGAAAATTCCCTGACTAAAGATACTAAAGTGAAAAATATTAAGACACTATCTTTTGAGGAAAATAAATTCCACCACACAAAGAGCTAAATCTAGGAGACAAAGAATGGATAAGACATTTAAACTGTCATCTCAAACTTTGAAATTTAAACACAGCGTATCTACTAAATACGTGTGCGCGCACACACACACACACACACATTTTAGTACCCAGTATATTATAGATTAAGTTTAAGGAGACGAAAACTGCTAAAACACAAAATCCATTAGCGTGTAAACTTCCAGAAGACCACTAAATAAACTTAACACTTGGGGGCCTACGAACTCCAATTGAGAATCTAGTGACTTAGATTCTCCAAAAAAATGCACATACAC